TTCAAGTTGGTCATTGTTGTGCTACACCCCAATTCTTTCTTCTCTTATTAGGTGATGATAATGAGGAACCTACTGATCAAATACTAGTAAAAGATGGTGATGCCACTTTATCTGAGGAAGCTATTCATTTTCACTTCTCCTTACAAGCACTCATGGGTTTACCATCCACTACCACCCTCAAGTTTCAAGGCTATATTTGTAGATTGCCAGTTATGATTCTCAATGATAGTGGTAGTTTTCACAACATTTCGCAACCTCGTTTAGCTAAACATTTACGCTTACCAAGTGAATCTTCAGAGCTTTTTTTTTTTTTTATGGTGGATAATAGAGAGCACCTTACTTGCACCTCACATTGCCCTTCTGTTCCTCTCACTTTTGAAGAACATATATTTATCGTTCCTTTTTATTTACTTCCAGTTGAGAGTGTTGATGTGATTCTTGGCATAGCTTGGCTTAATACCCTAGGTTCCTTAGAGGTTGATTTTTCTATCCACAATACATCTTTTATTCTTAATGAAGTTTTGGTTACCATTACTAGGCATACCTCATGTTATCCTTCCTTAGCTTCTTATCCCTAATTATGCCAATTTGTCCATACAGAAGCCTTCACCTTGTATCACCTTTTAACCATGGATCATCACCCTACACTACCCCCTACTCCTTCCCCTTTACACCCAAAAATTCAATAGTTACTTTATCAATTCAACTCTATTTTCTCCCAACCTCATGGTCTTCCCCCATTATGTTCTCTTGATCACCACATTAATTTCTTACCTAATACTTCTTTTATCTTTGTTAAGCCTTATCATTCAATCGTGCCATTGGTATAAGTTTCTCCACTTGGCTGAGTATTGTCATAACTCAACTTATCATTCAATCATTGGGATGACCATGTTTCGTGCTTTGTACAATCGAGATCCAACAACTCTTAAATATTACATCCTTGGAAGTGCTTCTATTCCTGCCTTGGATGATTCTTAACAAGCTCGAAAAATCATTTTGTCATAACTAAATCGAGCATGAAATATCAAGCTCACAAGAAGAGCCAAGACTTATCTTTTGAACTAGGTTTTTAGGTCTTTCTAAAGTTATAACCATACTAGTAAGGAACTTTGGCTCTTCACACTCCCAACAAATTATCTTGTCGTTTCTTCAATCTGTTCCAGGTTTTGCATTGCATTGGTTGTATCGTTTACGAGCTTCGTCTTCCATCCACATCCCAGATTCACCCTATTTTCCACATCTCCAAACTTAAATCATATCGAGGCTCTAACCCAAAATCCCATTACCCCTAGACAGAAACACCCCAAATAAGTCTCCTAAGCTAAATGACGCGTTACAACTATCCCACCCTCTTCTTACTTCCTCTGCCACCCAAATCCTCAACCGTTGGATTCACCTTCCCAAACCAAAGGCGCTTCCACACCTTCAATTCAAAATATCCCTACTATAATGTAGTAAGTTGGTTCAGGGTTTAGTAGATGCTGGAGATAAGAGTATATAAGATTTTCTTTGAGAAGGGAGTCTCATAAGCTCATTCCTCAAAGAAATTTAAAGAGAAGTTTTAGAGAGAAGGACTCTGGATCCGTGAGCCCCTTTCTCTCCCAAATTTCTCTGTTTGATTTTTCTCCTTCTCTAGATCACTAATTCCTTCTGTCTTTTCTTGGATTTCAGGCTAGGAAGCTTGTGTTTGGAGGATTAAAGTCCACGGGTCGAGCTTCGAAGGGAATTCTTCTTCTTCTTATTTCCTTGGATGTTTTGAGCCAATTTTTCAAGTGAGGGAAGCTAGAATGTAGGTTGATTGGTTGCATGTGAGTTTAGGAACTCAATTGGTGCATGAAATTTGAGAATCAATGGTTGAATTGAAAAACTTCTCATTTTTCAGGATTTTGGGAAAAATGGGATTTTTGGTGATTTTGATGCATTGAGTAGGTTCATGTTGAATCTGAGGACGCTTTCTAATTGTATGGAGTCTATGTATTGTGTTTCTCGGATTGCATGTGGTTAGATTTCCTGATTTTCAATTTGGATGGAATTTTCAAATTTTTGGTGGCTTCTGTTTGAGTTTGCGTCGGGCATGCATTCATTAGAGGTAGCCATTTTAAATTCACGTCGGGCGCGAGGTTAGTTGCGTAGGGCGCGATTTGAGATGGGAGCCTCTAGATGAGTCACACCGGGCGTGAGGAGAGCCACGCCAGGCGCGATATCAAATGGTGGTTCTGTATAGCATTTTCTGATATGGCGTCGGGCGTAGGGTAAGTCCGCTGGGCGTGGAGACCTCTAGAGATCTCTGTCTAGACGGTGCCAGACGCAGGGTTGACGCACCAGGCGTGGAGACTCCTTTGAGTCTCTGTTTGAATGACGTCGGGCGCGAGCTGAATGCGCCGGGCGTGGAAGAGCTTAGAGCTCTCGGGTTGGATTTAGGCCGGACGCGAACTAACTGCACCTGGTGTAAATATATGTCATGAAATCATGTTGACGTGACACATAATGACATTATCATGACATCATCTTTTGCTAGCGTGACAATAAGGAAAAAAATTAAACATTTGAATTTTATAGGGATAATTAAAAAAAAATAGAGGGACAAAAATTGAAAAAAAATACTAATTTATAAGGACAAAAATCATATTTAAGCGTTCTTTTTAATCTCATATGCTTGTATGATATAGATTTACTCTTATGCATAATATTTTTTTCATGATATACACACTATAAAAAAATTGTCATATAGTGATGCACATCTTATAGTAATACAATAATTGTTACTAAAAATTACTTTTACTTATACCATAAATATAATATATATTGGTATATTATTAAAAGTTGTAAATATAAGTTATAATGACATATAATATATATTGTTAAATCTTATTCAAAATCAATACTAAATTTATGTGTAATTATATGTCAAATACTATATATATTGTATCTTTAGTAACAATTTTTGCATGTCCCTATATGTAACTTTTTTTTTTTTATAATCTGTTTTAAAACAATTATTAAGCAATGTAAGTGGAGATTGTTAGGACAAAAGTTTAATATTTAATGCCAACTGATCTATATAAAATGTATATGTGAAAATGAAAATAAATAAATATTAATTATTACATCTTATATATTATAAATGATCAAAATTAAAGCAATAAGTTATGTAAATTTTTCTAAATGCCATTTGACTTTTTTAAGCAATTATTTGAACTATATATCTAATAAGACCAATAAGTATTAATCAATATATCTTATTATAAATAATCAAGATTAAAACGTAATACATGTGAAATTTAAAAGTTACGTGAAATTTTTTTAAATGATCACGTAACTTCATTTATCTTTTAATCACATCAAAATAGTTTAAAGTAAAATCTTAGTACTAAATAAATATAAATATATTAATTTTATATATAACTTATATATTTATATATAATATATTGTTTATTATAAATTTTAATTATATATAATAAATATAGTATACATTTAACAAGCTTATCCATTATTTATTTGGGAGAGGCGTGGAATAATAATAGGTTTATCCGAATAAGAGTGAGATTCCTGAGTGGGACCTTTTTTTATTGTTTGGTCTGGTCAGTACTGGAACTTTAGGTTGACGATGGATTCAAAATTGGAATACATAATAAATAATATGTACTCTATCCTTACTGTCTTTATTGTGCTACACAGCTGCCAAATATGAAGGTACTGCCTACAACTATTCATATGCCATCACTTACTCTTCATTTTTTCTTTCATTTGGCCCATATTTTATTTTATTTTTGGTCTCAGGATAGCCCTCTGGGCTGTTCTATTCACTTAAAAAAAACTTGGCCCATCGTAGTTCGTGTTAAGGTTGATGATATATACACTTCTATTTTTTTATATATACACTCCTTTAAAAAAAATATATATTAAATTCTTAAATTATCCTTAATATTATTTGGAATAAAAAAAAAATTCTGGAAAGTGTTTTTTAAAAGTTGATGATATATACACTTTCTTTTTCCTATAAGTACACCTCCTTTTAAAAAAAAATAATTAAAATTTTAAAATATTCTTAATTTTTTGCTTTTTTTTTTTAATTTTACATTTACAACATTTAATTTAGTACTTTTTTTTACAGATCTTTCTTTTTTCTTCTTTTTTTTCTTTTTTCAATTTTTACATGCACCCAGTTGTCTTTCCTTCACCCCACCTATTTTGGTAGCATGTAAAAATTGAAAGAAAAAAAGTGTGTGAAAAAAAAGAAAAAAGTAAAAAATTGAAAGTTAAAGGTATAAAATTAAAAAATATATATAATATTTTATAATTTTTTTTTTAAAAATAAAGAAGGTGTACTTATAAAAAAAAAACAGGAGGTGTATATATCATGAGCCTTCTGAAAAGAACTTTCCGTCAGAATAATTACGGAAAGTACTTTCCAGAATACTAAAATTACTATTCCAGAAATAACTTTCCGTCAAAATAATTATGGAAAATACTTTCCGTAACACTAGAATTACTATTGCGAAAAATTCTTTCCGAAATATTAACAGTGTGTGTATTTGTTACCATAATTCCGGAAAGAACTTTCCGCAATAGTAATTTTAGTGTTACAGAAAGTACTTTATAGAATTATTCTGACGGAAAGTTATTTCCGGAATAGTAATTTTAGTATTCCAGAAAGAACTTTCTATAATTATAATTATGTACAAATACACCTCCAAAAAAAATTTTCCAAGGATAATTTTTTTTTCCTCAAATAATATTAAGGATAATTTAGAAATTTAATATTTTTTTAAAAAAGAGGGTGTATGTATAAAAAAATGGAGGTATATATATCATCAGCCTCGTGTTAAATCTTTGGCATTGTGTCACTGAACAGTAGATTACACGTTTTTATTTTTTTATTTTTTACCAAGTCATATGTATAGATCCGTTTTGGTGGAGCAAAAAACCAAAAAGGCCGAAAAAGTGGTGAGGCCCAGAATTGATGGAAGAAGAAGGATTAGGGTTGTTCTTGCTCCACGTTGTTCCGACCTATGTGGCGACCTCACAGCCAATCTGATTCATATAAAATTGTTGTATCTGATTTTGACCGAAGGATATACGCGAAGTGCTGCTATTTTTCTCCGTCCCTTGAACGCCACCAGGTACTAGTTCCTTTCTTCTTCGTATCAGATCAGAAATATGATGTTAGATCCATTTTATAAGCCACTCTTTTAATTTCAGTGAATCTATCAAGGTATGTATCGGTTAGGTATTTCTGTTTATGTTTTCATTTCCTTTCTCCGATTTCCCCTTTTTACAAACCCTACATTTTCGCTGCATCCAGATCTTAAGCTTACGCCGCTCTCTAATTTCTGTATTTTTAGTTCACTGTGTCTTTCGATTTGTTTTCCTAAACTCATTGTTCACTATGTCACCGGAATTCACTGCGTCGACTCCAAACCCTTGGTTTTGGTGTCGGTTTTAATCTATTTCTCGGATCTGACAGTGACGGATCCCGGTTTCGCATTTTAGTCACGATCGGCTCTATTTCCTCGTTACGTATATATATTTTTAATAGGAAATACATTTTTGCGTGACCTTGGGTTGGTTCATGGTTCTGGAGTATGGATCCAACTCTTTAGTGATTGTTGATTTTTATTGTTATGTGGCTCGTTAGTTTCTACAACTCTTGGGTTGGTGGTGTTTCAAATGCCTTGCCTACTTGTTCTGAAATGAATTTGAGGTTGTGGTTGGAACTGTTATAGATTTGAAAAGTTGGGGTTGTAGTTTCTACCCTGCTCGCGATGTGTTTGTATAGGCGTGGTTTATTGCATTTTTTTCAATGATATAAGCCTTTGTCCATGGGGGTTAAGCATTGTGTTGAGCGTCTGTTATAGATGGTTAAGCATTGAGGTGTTGTGTTTCTGTCTTTAGTGGTTAACCAACCCTTTGCTTTCTGCTCTTGATGGTTAAACTTAACCACCTTTGAGATGTTGTTTCTGCCTTACTATGGTGATTATACTTTCTTAGTGATTTGTGTTTCTGCCAAGTAGTTAAACTTTGAGATAAAGTTTTTGCTTGGTGGTTAAGCTTCTTGCCTTATGGCTTTGATGATTCCAGCTTCTGACTTGTATGGTAGTTAACTTATGATTTTTTTAGACATTGTCTATCTTTTTCCAACATGTTCTAGCATATTTTATTGTATCTTGCTTCAATTTGATACCTGTATTGTCATCTCAAGCTGGAGGTGTTGTGAACACTTTCCAGCTTGCCGTGGGCATTAGAGACGTAGGATATTAGTATTACTGTACTCGTGTAATTTGATTGTTCTCAGTTAAGTAATGATCCCTTTTAGTTTTTTCTTTTTTCTCTTTCTCCCCCCCTGAATCATGTTTATCGTTTCCATGCAGACTGGTAAAGTTAACACTTCTCCATTTGTGGTAGTATTTTATAGACATGTACAAAACATAATTTGTGATTAGATATAAAACTAAACATGATGGGAGATTAGAAAATAGTATATTTCATCACTTACTATTCAGTTTGTGTTGATATGTGTCTTGGGTTATTTTTAATTAAGTCCATTCAGTGTAGTGTTTTGTCAATTTGCTAAAAGTTTTAATCGCTGTTAAGGGTCTTCAATTTTTGTATGTGCTGAATGTGAAACAGTTGATGCGAGTTTCTTTTGGAGATTTCGTCATTATAATACAATAACCACGTGAAAGCTTTTAGGTGATTATTAGGTAATACTACAATTTAAAGTATAAAACCCAAAAATAATTAAGGGTTCATGTTGTAGCCACTTTGATCTTAAGTTTATTTTGTCAGCTGTTTTTAATGTGTATTTTGCATTTGGAGTCATTCACTAATGTTTTTGGGCAATTACCAAGATTTTGTTATTTCTGTTTCAGTGAAACCAAGGTGAGGGTAAGAATTTCCGAAGTTGCAGCATGGGGCTGCTATCTTATGTTGGGTCCTCCTTCCTGCGAAAGTGTCGCAAAGGAAACATTGGCATGTCAAGATTCTTGCATACCAATAATTTTGAACGCAAGTTGATTTCATCTGGTGGTAATGAATCATATGGACATTTTAGCAAAAGATCATACTCTTCACTTTTGGCTGCTGGAACTGAGTGTAGGACTACAGGTGCTAGAATCAGGATGCCAAATATAGGAAGTGAAGGGTTCACGAGTTCAACTTATCTATCACTCGCCAGAAGAAATTCAAGATCGATCCATTTTGACAGCAAGAATAGTTGTTTACCAACCTCGGTGAACCCTGAACAGATTGTTCAAAATTCTGAATTCCATAATATAACTACTGATATGGTGAAGATAATGGGGGACATCCCAAGGTTTGTATTCTTTCACTATCATTTGTATCTTAATATTCATACTAATCATATAATTAATAGACTCTAATTGTTTCCATTATTCGAATCATTCTATAATTGTTGTTTTTAATTTTAATAGATGGATATCTCAAAGTGTCTCCACGATAGCTCCTTGTGATGCAGCAGAACCATGGCAGATTGGATTTCAAGATGCAGCAACACCTATGATGCAAGGAATAATAGACTTGCATCACGATATCTTTTTCTTCCTCACCAATATTGCTGTTTTCGTATCATATATCATGGCTCGCGCTTTGTGGCATTTTAGCCACAAAAGGAATCCAATTCCGCAAAGGATTGTTCATGGAACAACAATCGAGATTCTCTGGACCATATTTCCTAGTATCATCCTTATGTTCGTTGCTATACCATCATTTGCTCTGTTATACTCAATGGACGAGGTGGTGGTTGATCCATCCATTACTATCAAAGCTATCGGACATCAATGGTATTGGAGTTATGAGTATTCAGACTATAACAGTTCTGATGAACAGTCGCTTGCTTTTGACAGTTACATGATTCCAGAAAGTGATCTTGAATTGGGTCAATTGCGTTTGTTAGAAGTGGACAATAGAGTGGTAGTCCCAGCCAAAACTCATCTACGTTTTATTATAACAGCAGCTGATGTACTTCATAGCTGGGCAGTACCTTCCTTGGGTGTCAAATGTGATGCTGTACCTGGTCGTTTGAATCAGGTCTCTACTTTTATTCAACGAGAAGGGGTATACTATGGGCAGTGCAGTGAGATTTGTGGAACCAATCATGCATTTATGCCTATCGTCGTAGAAGCAGTTTCTACTAATGATTATAGTTCTTGGGTTTCAAATCAAATGCAGTAATCTGCCTTGAGTTTGTGCTGTTGGTAATAAAAGTGTACCTCCAAGATACTATGTTTTTTTGCTTGGGTGTCCAAGATACAATATTTTCTTGATTGAGTGTCCAAGATACAATATTTTCTTGATGGAGTGTCTAAGATACAATTAATTATGCACTCTTTTAGTTTTAATAATAAACTTTTTTTTTGTTTTATTGTATATTTTACTTATTTATTAATTTATATATAGATAATGCGTATATTGATGTGGTTCTTGAACTGGCTCAATTGAAATCTTTAATAGCCAATGTTTCTTTAAAATGTCAATGATAAATTCTTCAGATGAAATGCAATAGTTTCTTTGACTTGAAATTATTATAGTGATTAACATTCGTTTTATTATTATATATTTTAAGGCTAGGCACTTATGTCTTGGTTACTGGTTGAATGGGCATTGGATGTAATTAATTACTTATAGGATTAATGATTAATCAAAGAAGAATTGATTAACTCTCGATGATGAGTTTGAACTAAAACGTTTATCAAGACAATTGAATGAATGAACAAATGAGTTTCATTATCACTCATTGAAGAAATATAATGTGTTTCAGTTCGATATTTGTACCATACCCAAAAATTAATTAATCCAAAGTTGTAAATGATGAGGAGAAAATATTACACTATTCTTCAATTGGTTCTTGAAATGGTAATTTTTCTATCAGAAAAATATTTGTTTAATGATTATATTAGAAAGTTTAATTTAATCAAAATGATGTTTCTTAGTGAATATTATTATATTTTTTGCTTGCACCAAAAATATAAATAATATGAATATATATATATAAGGAGGGTTATAACAATACCAATATAACTTTTAGTAAATATTACACCGCTCAATAACTTTATATTAAATGTGAATTTTGTAAATTTAATCGTTAGATTGAAAGTTCATATCACTTTATATGTTTATATCAAATTTTGTTAAAATTGAAGGTAATTAAAGTATTCATATTTTAGTATATTTTAAAATGTATATATTACATCAATTTTGTTTAATAAGAATGAAGTATCAAATTATCTTTGATTAATATAAAATTTTGTATATATGATCTAAGAGTAAAAATTTTTTAATTTAATGGTTAGATTTACAAAATTCACATTTAATATAATGTTATTGAACAGTGTAATACTTAGTAAAAGTTATATTGGTGTTATTATAACCCGGATGGTTAAAACAACATTGGTGTAACTTTTACTAAGTATTACACCGTCTAATATTATTGATTTAAAAAAAATTTGTTAACAAATAAAGAAATTCTGGATCAATAATATAGAGTTTTCAAAACAATTAAGACAAATCATCTAAAACATAATCTGACAATAAGATGAATGTTTGTATAAGATAAAAGCTACATTAAGACGATTTTGTTGCCAATTAAGACAAATTTTGAGTTATAAAAAGAAATATGCATTAAATCTTATATCATTTACAATCTTTAAACAAGAATATGACTTCGTCAGATTCCTTAACAAATTGAATTTAAAAATACATCCTCCATACCAAACGTTTCACAAAAGGAAAGAAATACATGTTTTGCATCAGAAAATGATAAGCATATATCTGTAAACATGGAAAACTGCACTCGAAAGTTGTTTCATCACTACAACATCCTGACACAAGTATGACTCTACCGACTTGGTATCTAAAAGATGATAAGTAGTTTTTTTGATTACATAAAAAGTGAAAATTCGCTAAAAACATTTAGTGCAACTATTTATCATACTAACAGACACTTCTCTCCTCAAGAAGCAAATTGTGAAGACAAACGAAGTAAACCATAAGAGAGAAACTCAAGAATTTGCAATGGTCATCATCACTAAAGCTATATAAAATGAAGTTTAAAGTCTAGAAAGAAGTGACGATAATCTAAAATAAAATATTATTTCTTCATTCTTTATGTAAATTAGTTTTATACTTAACTTGTTGTTGTTAGAAAAGAATGACACAATCCAAGAGGGGGGGTGAATTGGATTCTATGACCCTTTAAAAATTATCAGAGTATTTAGGATCTTTATTTCACTTTTAAACTTTTCTAAGACTGAATTTTCAAATGAAGCTCTTCTAAAGACTTGTTATGAAAATATGAATGCAATATGCTCACTTGATTACAACATAATGAGGTTCAACAATAATGCTCTAATTCAGATTTAAACTGACAAAATTCACATACACTTGTTAATCAAGTTTTATCTTCTTTAAAGTTCAACCAAGAAATTACACAATGTAAAAGATAAGGTAGAAGAAGATTGCACAAGTCTTTTATACTGGTTCAGCCACTCCACATGTGACCTACATCCAGTCCTTAATCAACACCTGATTAAGATTTGTTCCACTATCTTAAGCAAGAAGGTTTACAAGCACACACACATGCATATACTTCAACACAAAAGATAACCACTTTCTTGACCCCAAGAAAGCACCCCTTGTAGAACCCACTACAAGAAACCTTACCACTTGAGAAACCCTTCTCAAGATTTTTTACAAAGATTCACAAAGAATAAAGGAACGAATTCACCTGGAATTCTTGAAGAAATCTTTATCTTCCCCTTTCAAGAATATGATGATGATTATCTTCTCACAAGCTTTTCACAAACGTTTTCACTCTTGGATTTCACAAAGAAAACTCTCCAAGATGTCACAAAGACTCCACAAAACGTTTTTCACAAATTGATTATCAGTTCTAACTCTTGTCTGAAGTTTCTCAAAGTTCAAACTATTTATAAAAGTTTCAGACGCAGATAATCGATTATTTTAAAGAATAATCGATTATTTTGTTCTTCAGGTTTTCTGGAAACCAACCAAGAACAATATAATCGATTATTTTGCTGGATAATCGATTATTCCAGAAAGTTGTTCCTGGGATAATCGATTATTTTGGCAAATAATCGATTATTGCAGCAAGGCATCCCATTTTGCCTATTGCTGGAATAATCGATTATATTTAACAATAATCGATTATTTTGAGTTAGTACTTAAAACTTCATTTTAAGTCTCAAAATAACTTTTCAATGTTTTAACTCATCATCATATACTCTCTACTTAGTTTAGATATAGATTTGATTATGCACAAAGCATACTAAGCACACACAATATAAAATCTCATTCAAAACAACTTAATAAACTCTATTACATTGCTCCATTACATAGCATGTTCTTGACTTTTCTTTGACTTTATTTTTGTGCTTCCAAGTTGTAAATTGTTGTTGTACACTTGTGTTGTGATCATCAAAACTTCTTTAGGCTTCAAGCTCTCCTAAGCTCAACAATTGTATCACGTCTTAAAAGGAAAATGAAGCAACTCTGTAAAACTTTTATAACTTTGAGTTATTGGGTTTGAACTTGAAGAGACTTGTTTGTAAAAAAATAATCATAATTTGAGCCTAGAGTAACTTATCTGTAAAAGAACACTTGTTACTTGACTCTGGAGAGACTTGTTTGTAAAAAAATATTTGGTATTGAAGCTTGGAGAGGTTTTGTGTAAAAAGAACATTAGGATAGCTGCTTGAAGAAACAAGTCAAAAAATATTTAGAGTTGAGGTAGAAGTGTCTTGATAAATAATATTTGTATCTTTGATAAGATAGTGGAACCTGATCTAGTTGAATTTAAGAATTAGACATAGGAGGTTAGCTCGGGCGTTTTGCTCTCGCGGCACGTGCTTTATGGTGAATTCGTCGAAGGACGAGATCTAGTGAGACGCAGTGTGGAAGTACTGCTGTAGTAGAGTGTCCTTTGCCTGGTACGTCCCACTAAGCTGCTCCACCATGAGTTTCGAGTCACTGTTGCAACTCACTCTTCGAGCTCCGAGGTCGCGGGCTAGCCTCAATCCTGCGAGAAGTGTCTCGTACTCTACCTAGTTATTGGTCACCTTGAAGCCAAACTTGAGGGACTGCTCCAAGGTGACTTGGTTTGGCCCTTCCAGGATGATGCCTGCGCCGCCGCCTTTAGAGTTGGAGGACCCGTCAACATGTAAAGTCCATACCTGGGGTTCCTCGGCAGTAGTTGGCGTGAGCTCGGCTACGAAGTCAGCTAAACATTGGGCCTTCAGGGGTCCCCAACTTTCGTACTGGATGCCGAATTCGGATAGTTCTACCGACCTGGCGATCATGCGTCCGGCGAGTTCAGGCTTTCGCAGAACTTGCTTGACGGGGTAGTCAGTTTTGACTATCACTTGGTGGCTTTGGAAGTAGGGTCGGAGCCGCCAAGCTGCGGTGACGAGCGCTAATGCCAGCTTCTCGATCATTTGGTATCTTCTTTCCGCGTCTTGGAGGACTCGGCTGATGAAGTAGATAGGTGTCTGTACCTTTTGGTGTTCTTGTACGATAACTGCGCTGATGGCGTTCTCTGCCATGGCCAAGTAAAGGAGGAGGTCGGTGTTGTGATCCGGCCTCTGTAGGATTGGTGGGGTTGTGAGGAAGGTTTTGAAGCTTTGGAAAGCTTCTTCGCACTGGTCTGTCCACAGGAAATCCTTCGGCTTTTTTAGTAGAGTGAAGATTGGTCCCGCCTTCTCCGCGAGTTTGGGAATGAAGCGGGATAGTGAGACTAACCGTCCGGCCAG